GGTCTGGTTGCTGGAGAAGTACCAGGTCACTTCCCCAGTACTACCAATGTGCCTTTGAGCAAGGCATCGAACCCCTAACAGCTCCAGCGTAGCAGTGAGTGTGTGGCAGCCCCACTCTGACATCTCTCCTCTAATGAATGTCCACAGCTCCTGTTTGTGTATGTGTGTATTTTGAGCGTGTGTGAGAAGCATGTCTCGCAATAAGAGCGTAAAGAAGAAAATGTAATTTTTAGCATCAGTTTGGACGGACAACTTTAAAACAGAAGTGTATTTCTGTCGTTGGAATTAAATTGCGGAATTCTTTAAATAATGACTTGAAGGGCTGTGTTCAGATATTTCAGTTTAAGAAAATGTACAAGAACAGAAAGTTATCAGACGGTATGAAAGTGGCAGTTAGTGTGTTTTCCTTCTACTTTCTGAGGAAGTGAAGACTGAATTGTCAGATTTGTTTTATGTTGGTATAGAGATATTCATTCATTCACTGTAATTGGACAGACCATCCAGATATTTATTGTTTGCTTTTTGAGTAAAGGGGGGGCAGGCAAAACAAGAATTAGTGTAAATTGTTTTTCTTTTTTCTTTTTCCTTTTCTGTTGCGTGTTTTGACATGTACGGAACAAATTTTAAAAAAAAAAAAATGAAATGAAATAACAGAGTGTAAACCAGAATTTTCCTCAGGGATTAATAAAGTTTGTAAATCAAATTATATTTTTTAAAAAGCCTACTAATCCACAATGTACTTTAGTTTATAATAATATCTTACGAATACTTCTTGAATACTAGCAGTTGGCCAAACGGTAAATCATCCTGAAAGCTAATTCAGCGTTTTTTTTCACTGACGTCATCCTGACAGGTGCTCCCTGCGTGCGCCGTCAGCTGTGCAGTGACGTGATTCCGTATTTCACGACCTTTCTAAAAAAAACAACAATTTAATTGGTTTTAAACCCATTGCTTTTTTTATACCATTATGTTGTATCTGTATTAATAATTAATTATTATTAACTAATAATTATTGTTACCATCCCTAAACTAGCGGAACCTCTCCGGCTCCCCCTCCTTTCTGTGTGCGCTCAGGATGAAGTAGCTTCCGGGCGACAGGGTACCAGCAGTAAACATGGCGGAGGAACTGCTGGAAACAGTGGACAGACTTCAGTCCCGGCTCCTGGAGAATCCGGAGCCGCGAAAGGTAACGACTAAACCGGTCGAAACGGACAGATAAGGTTGTCAGCATCGGCCATCTCCCCAAAATGAGACGGTTTGTCGCCGCTGGTCAAGCGAAGCGGCGGCCGCGGCAGGTCTCCGCAAGTCGCAACCGTTTTTTAAATGCTGCGTTGACGGTCGATCCGGACTTCTGTAAATCGTACACGTTGATGAGCTTCATTCGCTGTTTTTACTTAAACAGAATAGTGTAAAGTTGTGAATTAAAAATCCGTACGAGTATTAATTTGGGATTTTGTTTTGATCCACGAGTGAAGCGGCTTCAGGAGAAAATGACCATGTCACAACCATAATGTAAACAACCAACAGAGGATTGAAAGTTATGATCAGGCCTGCTGCTCATTAAAAATTAAAGAGTCTTTGATGTTTTTGTACAGTAAAAATGTCAGCACAAGTTACAAGAAGGATATTATAGGCTTATATTCGTTTTCTGTCTGTAATATTACACTGAATAGTAACAGTTCTAAGTTATTATACAAAATTGCAAAAAGAAGAAATCAATTCAATTCAATTCAATTCTAAAAAACTTTATTTGTCCCCGGGGGGCAATTCAAAGTCACACAGAGCAGTAAATTAACAACAGTGCAGGTAAACAAAACATTTTAACCTAAATATAAAGTGTCAATTAAAATACAACTTAAAGCTTAAACTTAACTTAAAAATACAAAATATAAAAGAGTAGATTTAAGTGGACAGCGATCGGACTAACAGATGTAAACAGAACTATGTGCAGTAAACGAGAAATAAATATATATACAGAACTATGTGCAGTAAACGAGAAATATATATATATATATACACAGAGCTATGTGCAGGTAGGCTAAATACTAAATGATAAGTTATAAGGTGCATGGTGAATAATGGAACAACAGAACTAATATATACAATATAACTGTAAAGGTAAAAATTAGATAAATAAATGATTATATAAAATTGCAAAAAGAAGAAGTTAAGGGACATTCAAAAATACTATGATGAGCAGAAACGTTGTATTTCAATGACAAAGGGACATGACAGCCTTTTCGCCCAATAGCCAATCATGATAATTCACATTTATTGGTTTGTAAGGTAATTAACGTCTTTTTTTTCTTTTCTTTTTTTTTTTTACTGTGCTTACCAATCACTTGGTTTGAAAACATTTAGAATAGAATTACTTTATTGATCCCAAACTGGGAAATTGTGGCGTTCAAGCAGCAGGTTATTCAAACACACAATATGAGTAAAAAACACAATATTAGCTAATCTAAACATAATATAATATTAAATACAAAGTAAATAAGCGCTAAAAATATCAAAACTAAGAATGTGAATATATACAACCAGGATTTAACTACATTACTAGTTTTTAAATAGGAACGATTAAATTGTAAATTAAGATTAAATGTAAATGTGCAAAAACAGAGTCGTAAATGGACAGTATTGACATAAGTTAAAGTGCATGAGGGTAAACATATTATAAGCAGAAACTATACAATATGACGGCGAGTAGACAGACAAATGAAGTGAACATGAGTGCAGGGATCATTTGTAAATGTAACATGTGCAGAACAGATACAGTAAAGGAGAGACAGATATTATCATGATGACAGTTCTCTGCTCGCATGAGGTGAGCTGTTGTACAAAGACGAGCACACATGAAATGCTTTGGATACTTCTGAGTAGAAATTGCACACGACACAAACAATTAAGTACTTACGACAATAATTTCAAATCAAGTTGTGTAAGAGTTTTTTATTGTTGTTTTAAATTTAACATTTTAAATAGTATTTCGTTATGAAACACTAGACCTCATTTACAATTGCGGCGTTTCCGACAGTTTGTGAAGGCATCACGTGAGACGTCACGATAATTAAGGGCTTTTAACTTCTTTCAACGTACCGCTTCAGCCCTTTTATATGTTATAAAAGATGACGTGAACACCTGCCCGCTTGGTTGAATACCTGTCGGCGTTTCCTTCTGTCTGTCATGGAAATATTAAAAATAAACAAACCATCATTCATCTTCTTGCGAATCTCGGGGCCAGA